CCCCCCCCCGATAGAGCACATAAAGGGGGTTGTCGTGGTTGAGAGGTACAGTGTTTGCCTAGATCCTGGGTTCGAGACCGGAAAGCAATGGAACGTTTTCTTCTCTGAAAAATTATCGCCTTTCACCTTCTATCCTTTTCTCTAACCATGTTCTGTCGCCTCCTTTCGTCTCCACTCTCTTCCCCCTACCCCCTTTCTTTTTTTTAGCCCCTCCTCTAGGCTCTTGACTCTTTTTGCAGCCTTTCTACTTCTACTCCTTGGTTCGTTCTTACTGCTGTCTTTCAGCAACACCTCTGATCTTTGGGTAGGTAAGATCTAACACCTTGCCTTCTCGTATAAGGGAGAAAAAATCTCGGAAATCCCGTGTGCAAGTCGGGCACGTTAAAGATCCCTTGGTAGTCCTAAAGTCGATAAGAGTGGGCCGTGCAAAATTCAAAATTAATTCCTACCAAACAGAAAATTCCTAATGTGTCCCGCTCGTTCACATAATTATTGTATGCAGCTCAGAGCGTCGTAAAAAAAAGCCTATAAAAGCTAGATCCTATTAAAACAATTATTATAGCCCGTTTGGTCATTCGTGAACATATACTTTACGAGAAAGGTTTGACGGTTCGTTTCTATCTATTCTGTCGCGTTCTTTTTATGATTAGCTAAGTAGGTTTATTTTTAAAATACGTATTTAAATTTTTTGACGAATAAGGCTATTTCGTGTTGACAACTGTCTATTAACTACAACTCAACCTTTGATCTTTCTTCTTCTTCGTTCTCTATGGTTATAGTTAAAGAATTTATGCATTATTGTTTTGCGTTTTTATATCCTCTCCAATGCAGCTCATTAGTTCGTGCATTTCGCTGTCCATTTAGAATACATTGTCATTTTTATGTCGTTTCATTGTACTTTTTCACTTATTTGTCGTTTGGTTCCATTCTATTCTGATTATTGTTTGCTTTTACTCGGAACTTATTACGGGCGTGTTATTGTTTAGCAGAGCCATAGAATCATATTATAATATATCCTAGACCGTTCACTTTTGACACATTGGCGAAGGCTGGCTCGTTTGACAGGGTAGTCAAAGTGAGACAAAGACCCAGATAGAGATGAGGCCACACACAAAAAGCCTGCACGCGAATAATAGGAATAATAAAGTAACTAACTTTCTTATTTAAAGCGGCATCATGGAATTGCGAGTGAAAAGAAACCCTGAATTCATTTTTTTTTTTATGTTCACCGCCAAAAAAAAAGAAGAAATTTCGCATTGATTAAGGTGATTTACTCCCACTTTAGGCAAAACGTTTTTTTTATAACCTTTAAATATGACGTGGGAATATTGGTCGCATGATTTGTTAACAGTTGATTAATTTTAACTAAAGATGTGAATTCGCAAAAAAATAGAAGGCAAAGAAGCCGAGATGACAATACTTAAATGTATTATCAATATTATGGTTTTTAATTTGGTTGTCTATATCTAGTTTTTCGCGGCCAGGAGTCGATA